AATAATAATAATAATGTTATTTTAAGTGTAAATTATTTTGCCAATAATTTTAGTTAGGGATTTTTTTTTTTTGAGCTTTATGTTCCAGAGTTGGTAGAGTTAATAGTTTTTTCAGTAGTAATTATCATTTACTGAGGGAGTAACTACTATGTAACTGGCAAGTAGGACATGTGCTTTGCACTTTGTCTTCAGTCCTTATAATAACCCACCAAGGTGTGAAGAAGTGTTCACTGTTCTCTCAGGTTCACTGAGCTGTAACTGGCAGATAAGGATTAAACCAAATTTTGGACTCTGGCTGAGAGTACATATTATTTGTTAGAGACTCATGTATTACCTTCTCCCATGTATCTTCTATTAGCTTATAATTAGTCAGTTTAATGCACGGAAGGCAAATTAATTAAATGAATGCTCTGAAGATTATTGATGTTTTCTACTATGGGGGAGACATTCGAAGTATTTCTTATTCTTCTATTTCATTATAGGAAATAAGTTTTCTTCTGCAATTCCAACTTTGCTTGGCAATATTCAAGGAGAAGAATTGCTGGTTTCTGAATGTGAGGGAGGAAGTCCTCCTGGTTCTCAGGATAGCAATAAGGATGAACCTAAAAGCGGATTAAATGAAGACCAAGCCATGATGCAGGATTGCTACAGCAAAATTGTAGATAAGCTGTCCTCTGCAAACCCAACTATGGTGTTACAGGTGCAAAGAAACTCAACTCATATGTTTTAAAACAATTTTTTAATTCAAACCCCCACCCCCACCCCCCCAAAAAACAACAACGAAGAAAACCTCTTAAAAACAAAACTCATAAAAACTGTCTTGGAAATAATATTTGAGTAACAAAGGTTTTTAGAATAGTCACAATTGGTTTTCATACAATACAATACAATAACTAATCAGAGTGGGTTCTCTAATTGTATAATGAATAAAAAATGCACACAACTTTGTTTGAAGAACAAGTGCTGTGTGTAGACTTGTAAATGAGCTCTTTGAATGTGCTGTGTATACAGGTTCAGATGCTTGTGGCTGAACTGCGCAGGGTCACTGTGCTCTGGGATGAGCTCTGGCTGGGAGTTTTGTTACAGCAACACATGTATGTCCTGAGACGAATTCAGCAACTTGAAGATGAAGTGAAGAGAGTCCAGAACAACAACACTTTACGCAAGTATGTTTTCATACACTTTTGCTCAGAAAATGAAGCTGCCTCTTTTTTTTAATGTGGTAAAATATATGACATAAAATTTACTGTTTCAACCATTTTTAAGTATACAATTCAATGGCACTAAGTACCTTCATAATGTTGTGCAGCCATTACCACTATTTCTTGAACTTATTCATTATCCCAAACAGGGACTCTGTACTCATTAAACAGTAACTCTCCATTTTCTCCTAACTTCAGCACATGATTACTTCTCTTCTACTTTCTGTCTTTATGAATTTGCCTTTTTAGGTACCTCATATAATAGGGGTCCTCAAAAAGTTCATAGAAAGATATTTCAATTCTGTTTTCCATGAGCTTTTTCGATTACCCTTATAAGTGGAATCATACAGTATTTATCTTTTTGTGTCTGTCTCTTTTCACTTAGCATAATGTTTCCAGGGTTCATCCATATAGTAGCATGTATTAAAATTTTACTTAGTTTTTATGGCTGAGGAATAGTCCATTGTATGGATATTCCACATTTTGTTTATCCATCAGTGGACAGTTGAGTAGCTTTTACATTCTGGCTGTGTGGATAATGTGCTCTGAACATTGGTGTACAAGTATCTAAGTCCCTGCTTCAATTATTTTGTGTGTATTTTGTTTGTGATCCAGAGGATCTGCTGGATTATATGGCAAAATTCTATGTTTAACTTGTTGAGGAACCGAGAAACAGCTTTCCATAGTGGCCGCATCATTTTACATTCCCACCAGCAATGCATGTGGGTTCCAGTTTCTAAAACCTCATCCTTGCCAAAGCATTTTTATTTTTAGTATTTCTTTTTTTTAGTTTTTTGTTTTTAATAATATCCGTTGTGACGAGTGTGAAGTTGTATCTCATTGTGGTTTGGATTTGCATTTCCCTGAAGATCAGTGATGTTTAGTGATGCCGAACATTTTTTTCATGTACTTATTGGCCATTTGTGTATCTTTTTTGGAGAAATGTCAGTTCAAGTCCTTTGCCCATTTTTTAATTGAGTTGTTTAGTTTTTTTTTTTGTTGAGTTGCAAGAGTTCTTTATATATTCTGGATATTAACCCCTTATCAGATACGTGATTTGGAAATATTTTCTACCATTCTGTGGGTTGTCTTTTTACTCTGTTGATAGTATCTTTTGATGCACAAGCTTATAATTTTGATGTAGTCCAAGTTTTTCTTATGGTGCCTGTGCTTTTGGTACCATATCCAAGAAGTCATTGCCAATTCTAGTGTCATGAAGACTATTTCTCCCTATGTTTTCTTCTAAGAGTTTTATCAAAAGTCTTAGCTCTTAAGTTTAGGTCTTTGAACCATCTTGAATTACTTTTTGCATATGGTGTAAGTTAAGGGTCCAACTTCATTCTTTTGCATGTAGATATCTTGTTTTCCCCAGACCATTTATTGAAAGAGAAGTGTTGTTTTATATGCTGGATTTTTTTTTTAACAATGCTATGTTCGTGAGTTACTTTGCTAGTATTTTATTACTATATTTATTCTTTAGTACTATTTGCATACACTTAATACATTTAAACTGTCCCATGTTCATATAAAACTTTATTGTGCAAGAGGTTTTTGAATAAAAATGTCTTCCTGGTCAGAGAAGAGAAAATTGCAATCATGCGGGAGAAGCACACCGCTTTGATGAAACCCATTGTGTTTGCTTTGGAGCATGTAAGGAGCATCACAGCAGCCCCTGCAGAAACACCTCATGAAAAGTGGTTTCAGGATAATTATGGTGATGCAATTGAAAATGCCCTAGAAAAACTGAAGACCCCATCAAACCCTGCAAAGCCTGGAAGCAGCTGGATTCCATTTAAAGAGGTACAGAATAATCTCAAGAATGCTACTAAAATGGAAAATTCCTTTTGAGATACAAAATTTAAATACATGGACTCTCCTTACTTGGAACACAAGAGGGGGAGATTTTGTAAGCCCAGCAAGCCCAAGACCAATTGCTTATAAGGAATGTAGAGAACAGTGCTTTATTCGTTTTGAGAATTTGGGGGCTGGTGGGCAAAGAGAATGTCTTAAAGCACCTACTCTTTCAAGTATGGAGGCTTCATACCAGTGAAGAATATACTTACAAGAAAATAGCCAAGGGAAGGGCTCTGGCCATGAGCTAAATATTGGTTGCCTACTATATTCTCGTACAAGATAAAGAAATTTAGTCTTGTGCCTATATAGTTTTTTTCTTGAAGGGAGCATTCAATATTGCTAACAGACAAACTATCCACATATGACAACATTAATTTTTACAAATAATTATTGTGAAATCAATTCTGCGTATGCTGTTTGGGATGTTTAGGGTATTCAAATATTTTAGAATTCTTTTCTGTTTTGGTCCCCTTAAATCTATATTCTCTTTGGTCTTTTTCTTTTATAGCAGTAACAGCAGTAATTGGGGGAGCCTCTTTATTATGTTGTAGCTTTTTCTTGCTTTTCATTCCTCCTCCTTTCTCTATTCTTACTTACCCTTATTGCTCCTGCCTGATTTCCTTACCGAACTTCAGTAATGAGAAAACCATTAAAAGAAACACGTAGAGGGGCCGGCCCGTGGCTCACTCAGTAGAGTGCGGTGCTGATAACGCCAAGGCCTCGGGTTCGGATCCCATATAGGGATGGCCGGTTCGCTCACTGGCTGAGCGTGGTGCTGACAACACCAAGTCAAGGGTTAAGATCCCTTTACCGGTCATCTTTTAAAAAAAAAAAAAGAAAAAGAAACACGTAGAAACAAAAAGTACAGCCAACTTTAACTAGTAACTGCAAATTGCTAAATTCAGAGGAAATAGCTAGAAGCACAAGCCAAGAAAACTAACAAGAAGGATGAAGTTTATTATGTGCAGCCTAGCCAAAACTGCAGTTTCCTTGTGTTTAAGACCAGTTTCTTCTTTGTCCCCCCCTCAATAAATCAAGTAAGAAACCCAGAGCAAGACACAGAAGGAATTCTTTTTATAACTGGTGTGTTAATGTGAAATAAATCACTGGCAGGACATTTTATGATTGTGCATATTTAAAGAATGTTTTTGTTTGCTCCCTGTACTAGCCAGCCCTAAAAGGATATGTATTTAAAAAAACAAAATTGAAAAGAATACCTATGTCCCCCTTTGCTTTTAGCTATAGTGCAACTAAAAAAATAAAAATGGAATTAGCTAGAGAAATAAAACTTTTTCCCTCCCTAATTATGCATTCATCCCTGTTATCTATGGGAGATTGGTTCCAGGACCACCAAAATCCATGGATGCTCAAGTCCCTTATAGAAAATGGCAAAGCATTTGCATATAAACTCCACACTTCCTACTATATACTTTGTCATCTCTAGATTATTTATAATACTTAATACAATGTAAATGCTATGCAAATAGTTGTTATACTATATATCATTTTCTTATTTGTGCTGTTTTTTGATTTTTTCCTCAAATATTTTTGACGCACAGTTGGTTGAATTGATTGGTTGAATCCATGGATAGGGACCCCTGGATACAAAGGCTGGCTGTATCCCCTTCCTCAAAATTACTGTTCTGAATTTTGAATTAAATATTGCCTAATTTTTAAAAAATAGTTTTTTTTTAGTTGCATTTCTAAATGACATAGTGTTTAGTTTCTGCCTGTTTTTGAACTTCATATGAATGAGATCATATTGTATGTACCCATTTGTGGATTTCTTTTTACTACTTCCCTATTTTTTGGATAAGTATTAGTTGTTTTTATTTTTATTTTTTTTTTATGATTTGTTCATATTTTGTGTATAGCTGAATAACGATCTATTATGTGAAAATACCACAATTTATATTTGGGGTATTTCCATTTGTTTCTTTTTATGAAAAAAGCTTGCTAGAGATTGCTTTAAAAGTTTTCATGTGAAAGCTCAGCTCAAGAGTTTGTTAATTCAGGTGCAGATTATTGAGTTAGCTACAAGTAGGGACACAACTATATATGCAGTTCATTCCCTGTGATTATTAGAAGGGGTTGTGGGATTTTTCTGCATACTTCAAGTGGTCACAGCTCCAAATTGTTACTTCTCTGTTAAAAATATTCTTATCTGTTTTTGTCTTTTCTTCAGTTTTGTTAAGGCTCCTAGAAATTTACTTAATTTCCTGTCCTCTAGTGTGATAAGAATAGATGGAGCCTCATTTTTTCTCATAACCTAATGTTAATAACTTAGCGAGTGGCTTCCTAAAGGTGTGTCTACCTGACAGCCAACTGCTAGTTTTATCTTTTGGTCTGTAACGGGGACTGAGTTGATTTCTTTTGGCATTGTTCAAAACACATAGCTCAACGGTGGGAAATTTTATTTTGCTTAAAGGCCTGTATTTGGTGATCAAAGCAGCGATTTCCTTATATCTCCCATGATTTCATTGCTTGTTTGGACAGAGGAGAAGGAGTGGTCTTAACAAAGTAGATATCACTCAGTACGTATCAACACACCAGGATTTCCCTTCCCGGGATGGCCCAAATAAATTAAATGTAGGCAGCAGAACAACAGGTACCTTGATATGGGTTTTTAAGTTTATTTTTATGCCATATTGAATGTGGAAGAAAATATGTGTGCTAATCATAATGTAGACTTATTTTCTCATCTTATGAGTATAGATAATGCTGAGTTTGCAACAGAGAGCACAGAAACGTGCAAGTTATATCTTGCGTCTTGAAGAAATCAGTCCCTGGTTGGCTGCCATGACTAACACTGAAATTGCTCTTCCTGGGGAAGTCTCAGCCAGAGACACTGTTACAATCCACAGTGTGGGCGGAACCATCACAATCTTACCGACTAAAACCAAGCCAAAGAAGCTTCTCTTTCTGGGATCAGATGGGAAAAATTACCCATATCTTTTCAAAGGTAGGATTTAAAAACTTCCTCTGTTTTTGCACGATGTTTTAATACCATGGTCAGGGGTTTGGATGCCTGTACTGGCTCGCCACCAAAAAATTAAATAAAAAAGTAAATTTAAAAACTTTCTCTGTTTTTAAGAAGCGTATTAGACTTATTAATGCTGTGTGTGTGTGTGTGTGTGTGTGTGTGTGTGTGTGTGTGTGTGTGTGTGTGTGTGTGTGTGTAGTAGGAGAGGATTGTTTCATGTGAATTTCTCTGTATCAAATAGTGCAGAGTATCTGTACCCTATGTAATTTTGAACGGCAGTGATTGGATGCTGTGTAGAAAGATTTTCCATTCCCCTCCTCCCCCGTATGAACTTATACAAACAGAACTGAGGCACAGCTAATAATATTATATACTGTATATAATATTAATACTACTAATGTCTAGTTGCTGAATAGTGTGCAATGCTCTGAAGGGTGCTTCGTTGTGCTCCTGCTAGTTGGAAAAAAACAGAAAATGTAGTATGCTCCCAACCCCATTTGGTCACCTACCGTAACTACTTTAATTTTGTTTTCATAGGACTGGAGGATTTACATCTGGATGAAAGAATAATGCAGTTCCTATCTATTGTGAATACCATGTTTGCTACAATTAATCGCCAGGAAACACCCCGTTTCCATGCTCGGCACTATTCTGTAACACCACTGGGAACAAGATCAGGACTAATCCAGTGGGTGGATGGAGCCACACCCTTATTCGGTCTTTACAAACGGTGGCAACAGCGGGAGGCTGCCTTACAAGCACAAAAGGTTGATTAAAATTAAAATACAAAAGTACTTTTACGTGGATGTTCATAACCAAGTGTATATATTAGCCGTTCTCTGTTGGTATATGAAATATTTCGAGGCTTACTGTACTAGAGCTCTAGTTAAAAAAGGAAAAGACCCGAGGTCCCTGGGAAGGTGTTTTTGAGGCACATTTCATAAAAATAAAATTTTAAGAGGCAGAAATGACATTGGTTTAATCTTTTTTTTTTTCCCCCTTTTTGTCTTTTTTACTGACCGGCAACGGGATCGCAACTCTCGGTGTTGCGCCCGCACCGCGCTCAGCCAGTGAGCACACCACACCAGCCATTCCTATATAGGATCCGAATGCGCGGCAGGAGCGACACTGTGCTCCCAGCGCTGCACCCTCCTGAGTGTGCCACAGGGCCGGCCCGAAAATGCTTCTCATTAGAGTAGATATGGGAAGGAACAAGAGTCGAAAGGAGTCAAGTTTTAAAACTGCATAGGAGACTCCAGAAAAATTAGAGATAGGAATTAGAGAAGGGTTATGTAAATTTTTATGTAATGTGTTCCTGAATATCTGTTAATTTTGTATTGATTGAAGAATAAAACGTGCTTACATGAATTATGAATTATAATTTTTAGACAGAATCATATGTTACAAAAAGCATGTAACTTGGGTATTGAGTTTTGAATTGAACCTCAAAATTTATCAGTAGACCAATTTTTTAATAAAATAATAAAAAGAGATGCGGATTATAAGAAAGATATATAGTTCAAAAGAATTGGTTTTTGGGGCCGGCCCGGTGGCGCACTGCTATAGTGCGCCGCTTGGGAAGCGCGGCGGCGCTCCTGCCGAGGG